CATAAGCGAAGTTACGGGAGGAAAAGTTTATAACCATAGAGAAAAATATAAAATATAGTATTAATTATTTAAGCCATATAATTGTTCTATGTGTAATTTAAAAAAGTTAAAATTAATTAAGGATAAGAATTTTAATTTAGTTTGCTATTATTTAAAAACAACTTACTAAGCAACACTATTACTGTATACTTTTACAAATGATAAATGAAAAATATTAATCTGATATGCTGTCATTTTGATCTACACAGTAAGAACTTATTATTAAGTATAAATATAATAATGGCAACACTAAATATAGATAACTAATTAATATTTTTGAAATTGTAATAATTATAAGAATAATAGCAAAAATTAAATAAATAATATTCCATATTCAATTATAATTAAAATTATAAAATTGTTTAAAGTTAAAAAATATTGTAATGTAATTGGTGCAATTTTCATTTTGTTAATTGTGGGTAGGCTGTCTGTAACAACTATACCTTCAAGACATGTAACACCTCAGTCTCTCCCGTGACCATGGACGCTGTAAAGCATTCGAAACGTCGGGAACCAAAAATCAAAATAAATCTGCGAAATAATCCGAAGAGATAGTTTTAAAATAAAGAAAGAAAAAACAATTAATCGTAATCGAGATAGGAATTGTCGATTATTAAGCGCAATAATCGTAATTGTAATCGCTAAGTGATAATCGTTTCATCACTAGTATTAATTATGAAAAATGCAAATTTAAAGCATTCCTTTGTCGACCCCTTTGGTCTGAGAAAATTTCACAAAAACTCACTGTTACTCGTACGTTTAATAAGATCGAGTAAACATAAGTGTAATCACAATGTAAACTGCTTGTGGAAGAAGAGCGCCGTCTAGCATATATTGTGTCATGAAAGACTGCGATATTACGAATATATTTTGTATCTATAAAATATTTTAAAACGTTACTAAATTGTTTAAAAAATATTGAAACAAAAAATTAAGAAACTAATGAGAAAAACATACTGAAATATAATAAATATTTTTAATTTTCAGGGTGACTTAGTTAGTGATACCGTATTAGATTATTCTGTTAAGACTACAAGTTACCTCATCACATTGTATGCATTATCTCGAAGTGCGCAAACAGCTGAAAATAGCGCCAAGGATTTGCGACGGTGTCTTGGAAAATTACTTATATTTTTACCCATGGGTAAGTCTTTCGCATGTGTCTCATTTATTATTAACTAGTATTCGTCCACTGGTCGAAATTTGACCATAATATTTATTGATTTTTTATTGAGAAAACTATAACTCTTCAATAGCTATTACACAAAAAAAACTTTTTCACAAAAAAATAAAAACCGACTTCATAAAAAGGACTAAAAAGTTAAAAATAACTGATTGGTAGTTTTCATTTACTATACATACCTAATCTATCGTAATATATTCGAAGTCGGTGTGCTTTGCTTTGTATCGGCTGGCACCGATTAATAATAATTTTATCTCGTAGGGACAGTAATACTTGGAGATAAGATTATAAATTAGTTTAAAATTATTAATAAAATATGTTTTTTAATTCTAGATGATGGCAGATACAAAGCCACTAAGAACTTCTTACGTTTAGTGGCAAACCGTCCAATCAAAACTCAGGCTTTTGGTTCAATTAATGTGGACATGACGCTAATTCCTAAGTTCGTTATGTTCTTCACCTCTTACACTGTTGTAGCCCTACAATTTAACAACGTAGTCTAGAATTACTACATCCTGTAACATTTATTCGATTACTATGTATAGAGGTAGTATTAAATTAATGTATTAATATTTACAATGTTATAAATTAAGAGGTTAAAATATTTACTGTCAGCGATTCTAGGTAAAGCGAAACTACTAATTGTTAAAGTTATAACGCTGTATACTAAATTGATTGCATCAGAATTATCTTTATTGGACATAAAAATTGCATGAGTAAAGTCAATTACAAAACTGTGAGGCACAAAATTTTATTTGACTTTAAAGATGACGAACATCGTTAATTATTCACTATCAGACTTTTTTTTCGCGTTTCAAAATTATGTATCGGGGGGCACGGCAGAGCCCCGCCAAGTCGAGCAAAAAATTAATTACATTACGGGTAGACCGAGTGTGCCCGTGACCACGGCTAGTGCAACCCAGTCGAAACGTCGGTATTTAACCATATACAAATTCACACGTTAAGTCCCGAAGTGTAATAATTATAACATACTGTCTCATAAACTTTTGATTTTATGGCAGTTTTGGTGACTATATTTTTTTAAATGATGTCATATAAACTTGCTATAAAAGCAAAAATGTCAAGTCCATACCCAGCCATTATACAATTATGTACGTTACGTATATCATCATCGTCGTCATCAATGTATGTTACGAACATAATATTATCAATAAAACAAGGCTTTCAGTTTGAATTTTGTTTTTATATTATTAATAAACACAAAAACAATTCCAAATAATATTTTATTATCAAAACCACGTATTAAATTGTATTGCAAAATATTTTATTAACCGACTTCCAAAAAGGAGGAGGTTCTCAATTCGGTCGGAAAAGTCGGAATCTTTGTTTTTTATGTATGTTCACCGATTACTGATAGATTTGATTCCCCATACAAAGTTTCACTCCCTTACAAAGTTTCATCCATCCAAACCCTATCTATTTTTCAAAAGTATCACAAACTTGTGTCGAGCTATACACGTCGCTACACTCAGGTTTAGTCACGTGACATTGGAGCGCAGAGCGATACATCCACCCCCTAGAAGCGCTCGGCGCGGTGGCTCGAAGCTTGCGTCGAGTAATATATATTGCGTGTGAGTTTCAATCGTTTTAAAAGATTTTTTTTGAAAGTATAGTTATTAACATTTTATTTCTTTTTTAAGAAATGAATAGTCATTGAACTGAAGTTTATATCTGTAATTTTCTTTTTATGAACGAGTGATCTATGTAGCCAAATATACCAGAAATACTTAGCACATTTTCTTTAAAATTTGTCTGAGTTTAGTATTTATTTACTCAACAATTTTATATGAAAGTTGTAAAAACTAACAACTTTTACAACAATACATTGTAATTTTTTCATATTATTTAGAGGTTAACACAATCCGTAAATGGGGATATCCTAAACCTCTTACAGCAAAAATTCACTATTCAGTCGCAGGTTTGAGGTCGATAATCCAAAATTAAATACTAAAAATAAAAAAGGAGGCCATACATTGGATCATAATTGAAATAATGTTTCATATGATGTGTTTACACTTATAGAAAAATTGTATTTTAACTATGAAATAGCGTTCATAAAATCGCGTAAATCAGCGAAGTCGGCTAAATTTCGTATGCGGACTCTTAAAGTGACGTCATTAATTTTCGTTATAACCTTATAATGTATTAAGCCCTTTCTAACCTCTCACTGCTGGGGGTGGGCCTCCCTTCAATACGAGGGGGATCAGGCCATAGTCCACCACGCTGGTCAAGTGCGGGTTGGCGGACTTCACATGTCTTTCGAAAACTTGCTAGGTTCTCTCAGACATGCAGGTTTCCTCACGATGTTTTCCTTCACCGTTAAGACAAGTGGTAATCATGTTGGAAATGATACAACCTTATAAGGTTAATAAAAAATAACTTTTTAACATAAACATTCTAAAAATGGTTCATTATGCCTAATATTACTGACAGTCATAGCACAGAGGCTTAGAATAGTATCTCTAATTCAAAATATTTTATTTACACCATGTAGAAAAGAGAACTTGTTGCTTGTTTTGATGAAGCGGTTAAAGATATTTTATTTGATATTTTAACTAAAATTACCTCAAGCAAATTCAATATGATTTAGAGATTTTATATATGAGAAACGTCGGCACGTGATTATGGTGGACCACGGTCATAGTTTAAATCGAAATAGCTTGCTCAATGTCCAATCTCCCCTCTAAGCCTATTCTTCCCATCTATGTTAGTCATTTCGCCACCAAATACGAAGCTATCGGCCATCTCAGATGTGGAAAATGTGCTAAAGTATGTATACTTATGTATATACGAAAATTGCAAAATGGAAGCGGTCTGTAAGACCGCGCGTCCATAATTCAAAATTCAAAATATTTTATTCAGCATTAAATTATTATAATTTTTTACTGAACGTCATGAGTCTACTCTACTATGTAGTTAAAGGTTAAAGCAACAAGTAACAACTATAACGGCATACATATTAAAGTTATTGTTTTGATGAGTTTTTTGTCCTTGTCATTACATTTTATCTACAGTAATAAATAGTATAGAAAATACAAATACATTGTACTTATAAATTAATTATTTAAATGAAAAAAAGATATAAGTATGATTAAAGCAAATACACGGTATTCAAGCAATAGAAATAAGTAGATAATAATAAATTAAGTTACTGTTCGTGTAAGGACGTGTCGGTCGTGTTTACTTAACATTTAACATGACGAGTCTTAAAATACTAAAAATTGCTGGTTTCCTTGAGAATATACTATCTGTTCCTAGAAATTACTTATTATTACCGCCACTGTTTCGTTTTTTTATGTGTATTAGGCTGGTATTAGAAACGGCTTATTATGTTATAGACTTCTCCAATTCCTCTACTCTTCATACTAATACTGTATTTCAAAATTGGAGAATTATAAATCATATTAATGAGGGAACTTCAATCCTAATAATTTTATTGGCTTTGTGTCATTGTAAAAAATATAAAACTCTGATTGAATATATTACAGACAGTCATACGTACTTTTCGAAAGATAAATTATATGTGCAAAACTTACAGAGATATTTTAGGAGAGTACAAATCACAGTTACTTTAATTTGTATCGTACACATAATTTTACATTGTTGTATAATTATAGTTTTTAATCGTATAAGCTTTATATTTATTTGTCGCACGTATAATATCATCATTGGTTTTACGCGATATATCGTACAGTACTTTACACTGAGTACTTATTTGTATATAATTTCGGAGCAAATTAAATCTATTACTAGAAGAATGTTAAATGTTAAAAGTCTAATTTTTACTGTAAGTCACGACTTGCTACCACATGAGCTGGATATAACGAGTTTCAATAAATTTAAAGTTGCATATATGAATATCAAGGATACTTTAAATCTTATTAATTCCATATATGGTATTCAGGTGAGTTGTACCGATATACTTTTGTTTTAAATCATGACAAAAATAAATTAAGCCCATTTAAAATTTTTCTCTATGCTACTCGTAATACGTAAGATTAAGAAGATAATTCATTCAACGTAATTTACAAAAATTATGTTGTGAAATTCACAGTTGACGTGCATGTTGATATCGGCCTCAGCATTATTTATAGCAACATTTTACGTGATTGCGTCTACCGGTATTGAAGTAAGTATTGAGGTTCATTTGCTATTTACTCAGTACTCTACATCTGATTAACAAGTTTCATTAATTGTTCAATCTTTTGATTCGTACTACCATATCATTTTCAGGTCGAATGTCTGTACATAGAAAAAAAGTGTTAAAAAGAGAAGTCAGGGAAGTGTAAGGAGAGAAATAGAACAAATCTACATATTTTTCAAATTTTTTGTTTCTCTGTCTGTTTGCCTGTATGTCTGTTTGTACGGGCTAATCTCCGAATCTATTGGACCGATTTAAATGAAATTTTGCACGGTGGTATCTTATATCGCCGAACAAGGTATAAGATACTTTTCATCCCGAAAAATTGACGAGCTCTTGTAGTATAGTTAAAAAACTAGTAGTAACTTATACAGCTTAGTACATAAAAACTACTGATTGGATTTTACTGAAACTTTCCAGTAATATAACATTCTTCTTCTACATCAGAATAATAAATAGGTTACTTTTTATCCCGGAAATATGTACGGTTCCCGTGGGATAGATTTATTTGTGGTGTTATAAACTAGCTACTCACCCTCGCTTCGCTCGGGTTCGTCCCTGGTTACGTTTAAACGGTTCGCTAATATTCTAATAGTCAAAATTAATTTATATTCCTTTTAGGGTTATATTACATGGTTGGACACGATGCCAAAAGTTTTTATTATTTTAGTAACTCTCATTGCTATATTTATTTTATCACAATCTGCCCAAACAGTTCAAAATAGTGTGGAGAGCTTGAGACGTAGTCTTGGTACCCTCATCATTAATCTGGCCCCAGGTAAGCGTTTCATAAAAATGTAGGGTAATGTAATGTAAGGTGGACTAAATTTTTCGCATTTAAACTCTAAGTTGGTCCGTTGTGCGTCCTGAATCCTGGCTAATCTAGCCAGCCCAATTCCGCCCAGAAGCTCAAAAGTTTTTTGAGAACTTCCCAGGCTTCGCGAAGCGACCTCACTGATCTGAGGATTTCTGTGCGTTGATGAGCTACTGCCTCGCATTCCAGGATCACGTGGGTGACTGATTCTTCGGCACTAAAACATCCTCAGCATAAAGGACTATCAGTCCCGCCGGTTATAAATAGATGTTTGTTTAAGTGAAAATGGCCAGTAATTTTCCCTATCATTATTTTTAGGTTGGTTCTGTTGAGACTTAGTAGATGTTTTGTCAGTCGCAGGTTTACTGCAGACAGTGCTAGTTTAGACTTCCTGCATTCCGTGGTTTGCGACCTGCGAATGTATAGTAAAATTAATTTATAGATTAAAATAATAATAACGTCAATTTTGATCGATGAAAAACGAGGGTGTTCTAAGGTCAATGCGTATTTTCTTATAGCTTTTTACAGTGTAGTCCATTCATCCGTAGTTCAATAAAATTATTTTTTTATTGACAGCGTAGACAATGACGGTGCCATTTAAATTTATTTAAAAAAAATCCTTAGGGGTATTTAGCCATTGGTTATTATTATATCGTATTATGGATTTTAACCACAAAATAATAAAATGAAAGCGCATTAACAAAAAATCGTACCAACAATAAAATGACATGCTCGTTTTGGCGAAATTAGCTACTTATATTAGTTTTAGGGCTTATATATATTTAGGTATTTAAGATGTTTTTTTTATATTTCGCTTTCCACTTTCTGTTTTAGTCGGTTAAAGTGTTTTTTAAAAAGTTTTTATATAATAATATTTCCCCAAATTTCACTTTGGCTGAGGTGAAATAGCTTAGGAGTTAGTCATAGCTTTAAGTGGCTTTTCATTTTCTTATTCATTTTTGTTACAGATAATGAAAACTTTAAGACAATCAAATATTTTTTACGTTTAATATCGAACCAACCACTCATAATACGAGCAGTCGGCTACGTCAATGTGGACATGTCTCTAGTGCCCAAGATGGTCATGTTAGTTATTTCTTACACTGTTATCGCCTTACAATTTAACAATGTGGTGTAGAATTGAATGATTCTTTTTATAATCGTATCACTTATTTAGATTTAAGTTTAAGAATAGATTAAAATCTTTCATAACAAGATTTCTTCATCATCTTAAGATTTTTCACAACCAGGATATATTGTTTAAAAATTGATGGACTGATCTTAAGGCATCATTATCTATTAGAAATCCTGGCAACATTTGCACTAAGCAAAATTATTGTGTGTGTTGTGTTTTTAGGTTATTTGGAATTTTAACAGAATTTGCTTGTATCTTTAAATTTAACAGTTGTAACTTATATATACAATTATTGAATGAATTTTTTTGTCAATAGCTCTCTTGAATAGACTAATTGATTTTAAAATGTTTGAATTTGATATGCAATTGTATTGATGATATACACTATTTAGATACCTAATCAAATTAAAATAGTAATATGTAATCAAATTAAAATTAAAATAATTAATGTAATTATAATTAATCAAGATTGAAATAAATGATTTTTGAATCTTACTTGACTTTTTGTTTACTATAGGTATATATTTCTTATTTTTTTTAAATAATTTGTATCGGTACTAGCTTTTCCCGTGGCTTTGCTCATGTAGTTTATTTTTGTATAACTGTTCTGATTGTGAAAGTGTAGCATGGTCATCTCTTCTGCCATTTACAAGATTCGATAAAATAGATGTTGGCAGATTATATTATTAGTGTACATTCGAAAGATCGATGTTACTTATTGTCACTCACTGTCAAATGGTGTAAGATAGTAAAAAACCGACTGAAGAGACAAATGAACAAAAGGATATGTAATAAAAAAATTATAAAAACTAAAATGATTCCCAGATAGATACAAATTCCTCGAAATCGGTGTTGTCACAGACAGACAAAAAATCTTAAACTTGTCTATTAGGCCGCAGTATCAATATTTATGGTTATTACAATAAAATTTTCTAAGAAATACTTAATGTACAGATTTGGCTCAGTTACATATTTATTTATTACTAGCGACTCACCCTTGCTCCGCTCGGGTTCGTCCCTAGTTTGCTCCCCAATACAAACTTTCATCCCCCCTTAAGGGATGATTTCCGGGATAAAAAGTATCCTATTTCCTTCCCAGGGACTCAAATAATCTTCTTACCAAATTTCATCGAAATCGGTTCAGTAGATCCAGATATATATATATATATATATATATATATATATATATATATATATATATATATATATATATATAATTCCAAAAGAACATTTATACATTTTAAAAATTATACTTGTAGCAAATGTATGAACCCTTCGCCACTGGTACACTGTTATGTTACATGGACGCTTGGGATTTATTTAAGACAATTCGTATAGCCATATTTTTTTAAAATTAATATGGATAAAGTCGTGTGGTTGGTTAGTTTCTTATAATATTATGTTTACAGTAGTCATTACCATCACATTAAACAACTACAAATAAATTGCTATGGACTCCATTAATGTATTGAGTTTTCAAGGTAAGTAATTGTGAGTATTATTCATAAATAATAAATGTATGAGTACAATAAAATACCAGTCCGTTATCTGTCTTCCAAAATAAAAAATTGTATACTTCTTGTTTATAATTAGGTATGTTATATCTTCTATTTCTAAGTGATCTCGGACAATTTAGACAAATTATTCTGTGCTTATATAGATAGCTTTCGGCGTTTCCGGGATTTGCCAGGCTACTTTGTACCTCCCCCCCAACGTGCGTTCACCTTGTCGTGGTGGGGGGGCTCAGTAGCGCCCGGAAATCCAACCGGGCGCGAAGCTAAGAAACGCACAGGGAGGTTGCCCACTTCGGTGGGCGGTGGGAGGTAGCCCTCTTTGGAGGGCGGTGTACCATGCGGGTTGCTCCTGGTACTTCTTTGATAGCAGAGTGGACCTTGGAGCAACCCCATGGTTGTGGTGGTCTGCTTCTGCAGACCTGCCGTCGGGGCGTCATAGTTGAATGCGTAAGCGATCCTGCGACACCCATTAAGACGGGGGAAGGATTTGTTGGGTTTTAGTGGGTAGTAAGGGCTGTATTACGCCGGTGAGTCCCACACGTCGTGCGTAAATGCATTTCCCAACGTTAAAAAAAGGCTACTTTGTACCTATTAAATTTAAACCTGCGAAAAATTGTTCCTCACACAATCTCTGTCACCTCTTATCACTCCTTTAGGGTCCAAAATTTAAATATGTCATTATATGAATACAATATTAAAAGCCTTTTTGAGTCGACAGCTGCGTCTTAGCGTTAATGAAGGGGTTATATAAACAAAGAAAAACATTTTTTTTTCGTAGTTTAGTTCTTCATACTCGTAATAGATCATAATCAGTTTTACATAATAAATTTTACATAGTCGCCTCAGTCGATGATAGAACTTGCAACTACTTAACCATAGACCAATATAAAAATACATAGATCATTAACGATATTAGTTTATTATGTTATAAGGCTAATGTATTGAGAAATAAACGATGTATTTACTATTATATGTATACTGGAAAATGTCATTGGAGTGACAAATATTAACAGCAAAATATGCTGTCTATTTAATTGCTTACACTATCTAAAATGTAATATGAACACCTACTGAGTAATTATTAACTAAGGAGTATACTATTATATGATCTGTGGTTACACTAAGGTTATCCGAACTGAATATATTTAGAATTTAAAAAGTTACTAAAATTTTGTTGTTGGTTTTATCTTATATATAAAATTTCCATGTCACAATGTTTGTTACCGTACTCCTCTGAAACGGCTTTACCGATTTTTACCAAATTTTATATGCGTATTTAGTAGTTCTGAGAATCGGCTACTATCTATTTTCCATACCCCTAAGTGATAAGGATAAGGGTGGTCCTCCCAGACCCCATCCCATACTTATAACACTTAGCATTTTATTCTCGTTACCTTTAACAGATTGTGAGTATTGCATTACTGTTTTACAATAATATTTAACGAATAATACAGACTAAACAATATCACTTGGCATTCTATTCTAGTGAATATGAATAATATGTGTTATCACTGTCTAATGTAAGCTTTCTCTAATGACAGAAAAGAATGGCAAGATATTTCTTTGCTATCAGTTATTATTAGTACGAGTACTATTTACTAAGAATATGTTAATCGCCAAGCCTAAGCTAATTTTTACGAGAACAAAATGACAATAGCGTTCACAATATTATTTCACCGATTTGTTGTTCGTGAATATTATTGTAAAAGTTTTTGTTGTATCTTTAAGGCGCTCTTTTCCAGAATTTAGGATATTTTGAACCATTATAAAACCACGAATATAATACATATAGTTCTAAAATTCATACATGTTATAGTTAAGGATAATAGCTAAGTACCCGGAGAGGCCAAAACACGATTGGCAATAGTTCACTCGATAGAAAAAAAATTCAAAGATAGGTCTAAAAATACCTTAAAATCTCTGATACACACAAAATACATTATTATATGATATGAAAGTTATACTCATAGATTTAGCTTGTCATTATTTAGGTATTCGGAGAAGCAGATTTTCATTTATTAACTAATATTTATGGCAATAGGCGAAAAACAGATAGAATGAAACGGGTCGTCGCGCGCTGGCGCCTAGGGAGCGGCGATTCTGGAAAAGAGCGCCTTGAAGAAACGGTTTTACTAACTTCATATATTTTTTTTTTAAAGAAGCCTTGTGTGTTTGAAAGGCTGACGAAAATGATTGCATTATTCTATAACTTTTTGAATAATTAAAATTTATTAGATTACTATGTATAGAGGTAGTATTAAATTAATGTATAAATTTTTACAATGTTATAAATTAAGACGTAAAATAAAAAATATTTACTGTCATTGATTCTAGATTAATACTTATTGTTAAAGTGATAACGCTGTATATTAAATTATCTGCATCAGAATTATTGTTTGTTTGGACATAAAAATTGCACGTGAAAAAAGTCCATTACAAAACAATGATTTTATTTGAGTTCAAAGATAACGAAAATCGTTAATCACTAAATGTATACATATAATAAAATTTTAACTAAGCCGAATCTGTGCATTAAATATTTTTTGGCAAATCTTATTAAAATAGACATTATTATCGATACTGATGCCGAATCTTTAGTTTTTAGAATTTTTGTCTGTCTGTCTGTTACCGCATCACGGAAAACTCACTGGAGGGATTTTGATGAATGAAATGAATGAATAAATGAAATGAAATGAACTTTATTAAATTAGACTTATTACAAGAACTTTTTAATCGTCAATTTAATGAAAACGTCTGTGTAGTCAGAGATAAAAGGCATGATGGCAGCTGGTTATATTATAATATGTATAGTTGTGTTATTTAGATATTCGGTAATAGATGTCGCCATGTGTTTTAAAATAAGTAGTTTTAATTCCAAAAAATTGAACATACAGATATGAACTTTCTAAGATTTTATTAAATTACCTGCGACGCCGACCGTGTTCAAATTATCAGTAAGCAAACTTTTCGGATTTAGAAACTAGTACCTAACATATAAGTAATGTTTTGTTGGCCGAAACAATTTTTAAATGAAAATATTTGTAAATTTTTATTGTTTAGTAAATGATGTTAATGTTATTAAATGTTTTAATGTAAAAATTGAACTAATGCAAGTCCAACTCGCACATTATAGTTTCCGTATAGCATAATACTGTGTTGTTTTTTACTTACGTATTTTGTTTGGGTTCACATTAAAATATTTTTTATGGAAAACAAGTTCAAGTTTGGTTGCTAAACTAAAAAAGCGGGTAACAAATAATATTCCATACCCCATAAACTGTGAAACGTATATTTTGCAATATCATTTTCGATAAAAAGTATTTTAGAAATTGTTATACCTCAACTTGTTTAGATTTTTTCGATACAATTTCTTGAAAGGTGGAAAAGACTTAAAGAACGTAATAAAATGCTACGAATTAATCATATAGAAATAATAAAAAGCATTTTCTAAGAATTATCTATCTATTAACCTTAATTATGTAATTT